CATTCATTTATCATTAATTACTCAATCGAAGACTTTGAGCAAAAAAGTATCCGTCCCTTGTACGCGTCGATAACCCCTTTGTATCTTGCACCGCAGGTTGTTAGAAAGCCAACCTACGCGCGGAAAAGCCATAGCTCTGCACTGCGGACAAGTCGCGAGGTGTGCGGATAAGAATTGCCCACGCGTCGCTTGGAAAAAAAAAAAACTCCGTCACGCTCGACTATGTATAGCTGCAGTATAGGGGCCGCGAGGGTCGCTTTTCCCTCGTCCCTTGAATCATCGCCGTGCACCTTGGCATTGGGACTTTTTTCCGTTAACCCGAAATCGATTTACGAGTCATACGTGCACAACCTTACCCTCGTACTGCGAGATTCTCTCTCTGATTCAGGTGAATTTTTACACCCAAGAGAGAGAGAGAAGAGCTATACGTTTCATTGGAGGAACGCGGGTCCATGCATTCGCGCGCCCGGCTCGTTGCTTCCCTCTTTGTTGGGCCCGGCTTGATTTAGTGCGGCTAATGATATATAGTGCGATATCAGTCGATTCAATTATAACTTTTCCGAGGCAAAAGGCAATCGGTATGTGTGTGTACATACATTATACGGACTCTCTTTGCTCTGTACGGTCCATTAGGATTTTTCTGTGGCAAAGCCTTGGCGCTTTGGTGGCACATGAAAAAAAAAAAAAAAAAAGGTACGAAAAAAGGGACATCTCGGTGGCGCTGAATAATGGGCTCGTGATTTATTTCGGAAATTGCGCCAAAGAACGCGCACACGAGTTCCGAGCGCACAATTAATTATTCGCGGGACACACGCTCTCCCGAGAGAGCCGCCAAGTTAGGATAATACAAACCGCGTGTACAGGTATATAATATGTGTACCACGCACGGCTGTGCTTAAAGCAGGTGAAGGTCCGTCCGCGTCATCCGGCGCCCCACTTCCGCTCGACTGGAACCAAGGACTCGAACTTTTAGCTCTGCGACCTTATTATGTTACGAGCAAAGCCAACGGGGCTCCTCTCTCGGAGTCAATTTACGAATGTGCTATCGAGTCGAGCTGAATTTACCATCAACAAGCGCTTTTCCATCATCATCGGCGGTACACCTCGCGCTAACGATCGTTTCATCGCCACTCGGGTCATCGCTCCCGTCCCACGTGATAAATCATCCTCGCGTACGCGAGGGAGAGGAAGAGAAAAAGCACCCGGCGGTCAGAGGTCGACTTCCGTCTGCCTGCGATTAAATAAACAGACGCGTCAGCAACAACATGAAAAGAAAAAAGGGACATTTAGCTTGTTTTGTTTCGCCATGAAGGAGTACATTTTGCACTCGATCGTCATGTCCAAAGCCGTTGCCCTCGGAAAATCGCGTCCGCAGATGTACCTGACAATCACGTATCGGCAAGCGGTAATCTAGTTATCGGCGATCGTTTCACGAGTCGTTACTTCCAGCGAGCAGAGCCCCTCCCACACAAACGGTGGACTCGCTCGTTCCGCGCGTTTACAATCAAACTTCCTGGATTCGCCTTTTCGTGCATCAGGTATATATGTATATGTATTTATATAACAGCGCCGGGGAGACGATAAAGCCAGTCTCTCGCGTTGAGGGGCAGAAAAAACACATGGGAGCCCCAGCTAACTACAAAAGCACGTATACGTACACGTGCTCTCGCTTCGCTTGCTTGTAAACCACACGTTGGATATGCCCTACGACGCTCTTGCTTTACTTGCACAACAGACGAATAAGTGCACTGCGCACTCCCTCCCTCTGTTTCTCTTCTTGCGAAAGCCTCTCTGGCGCATTGTCCTTTTGTTGCTGTTGTCGCGGCCACTGATGTCCTTTTTTTTTTCATTCCTTGCACTTTCGCTCTCGCCCAGAGAGAGAGAGAGAGAGAGAGAGAGTAGGTTCGCTATCTCTCTTAGTTCTTCGCGACGAGATTATATCGGCAACGTGGTGGAGGTGGTGGTGGAGAGCCTTCGGTTTCGTTATCGGAAACAGAGCGCACAAGAGCCGAGTAATCGCCCGTTGTCGGCTATTGTACGCGGGGAATCGATTGCACACGCGGACCTTCCTCTTTTCTTTTCTTTTTTCTTTTTTTTTTCCAACACTTTTATTACGTCGTGCACGTTCGCGGTAAATGGCCGTCGGGCTGACGCGTTTTAATTGGGGGACTCGGCCTGGTGATGCAACGACGACGAGTGAGTCCCAAGGTTAAGGTCCTTTTTCTCGTTTTCTTTCTTTTTCTTTTTTTTTTTTTTTCTCTCTCTCTCTCTCGCTGTACTCGAAGAGGATAAAGGAAAAGAGTCACACGTAGTCCGAGCGTGCAAGGTTTTATCAATACCAGAGTTTAAATTGAATGTTGCATTGTAGTAATGTTTACAACAATGTTGCATTATCTTCGTATTGAAAGGAAATAAAAAAGATTAATTATCTTCTTAAAAGTACAATTAATTAAGTTTCCCCGATGAAAGGTGAATTTCCATCGATGAAATAGATCCAGCTGGAATTTCGCGAGTTAAGATAATTGGTGAGGGTACATTTTTTTAACTGTCAGTTTTAAAGATGTTCAATCAAATCAACCGAAAAATTCACAAAAAAACATTTTGCAAAACGTAAAAAAAAGACCCTTGCGTCCAATCGTGCATGGAGCAACCAAGCGATGATAGGCCCCAGTCAGCTATTCACACACACTGCACATCCAAACGTTAAATAGACACAAAGCAGCAACAGCCAGTCGGACAACTAAACTGCTCTCGAGCTAATCTCCGTTATGTAGTGCATCTCGATCCGCGAACCGATCAATCATCCCCCAATGGTACACACTATCGCCTCCGTGCATGACTCCTGATTCGCGATGTACTTTTTAACCATGAGTATACGTATGCATATGTGTACGTGTAGTAATAACTAGTAATCGCCCTTTCTCTATTTCTTTTCTCCCTCCCCCTGGCATCTCCCATCGTTGGATATCATTATGTATGCGTACAACTGTACAATTGCACTCGCGTACCTTGTTTTTTTTTTTTTTTTTTTTTTTTTTTTTTTTTTCTATTGGACTCTGAGACAGTATAACTGTTTCGCATCGCTCAGAGTTACGATGAATGTCAGTCGCTCGCTGCGCGTCTCGTTATTGGCGTCGCTTAATAACGTGCCCAAGCACATCCTATTTAGCAGCTCTTCCGCGAAACGTACCTACACCGCAGCGTACAATAATTATCATGCGTAATGAAGATCGTGCATATATGTATATACGTACGGAGACGGCAGGTAAAAGTAGTTGATAAATATGTATATGCAAAGGGGAAGCGCGCGTACAGTATATAGTTTCTCCTTCACTTGTACATACTGTCTACACGCAGTCGATTTGTTATTGCGTGCGTTGCAGTGCACCATGTATATATACGGGACGCGAAAGTATTATTGAAAGTAATCACTTTTGAGTGCCATTAATCACGCTGTTTATGACTTTACGGCCGGGGTGGTAGTGCAGGGTATCGAAAGGCGGGTAGTGTATATAGTTGCAACCGTTCAACAGGAGGGTATATAGGGTACACCAAGGGAGTAGAACTGTGATAAGTTTGTTTTTTATGAAATTTTAATGCTGTACTTTTGCTTTGTGGTAAAAAATAAAATTTTTTTTATTAGAATGTACACTTCGCATTTCACTGAGTGAATAAGTCTTATTTTCTTCCCTAACTCAATCTCTGTCAAAAACGAAGTTGAAATTCATTTTTAGAGTATATTGAATTATTAAAAACACTTGCGTACATACAAGAGAGCATCTTGTAATTCCTGTATTTGAAACACGAGCGAAAAAGATACGTAATTGACGCGATGGTAAAATTTTTTTCATCGATAGCCTCGAGTCAGTTAATTATTCAACTTGCAGTGCCGATAAACGCGATGCAAGCATATGCACAAAGATAACGGTACATACCTGCGTCTGATTGTCGGTAGGTATATGTACCCGCTCGTGGAGCCGATTACCCGAAAGATGAACACGTAAACGCCCATCGGTTTGATTATCGGGTCGAACATTGAATTTCGGAGTGCACCCGTCAGCTGAACTCTAATGAGAAAATTAGTGCCCGAGACGAGACTGAATTGAATCGTCATGAAATCGGAGAAGTAAGGTGAAGGGAGATAGCGAGAGAGAGAGAGAGCCAGATTGATCGGACGGCGTGTGATTGTGTCCGTGTATACGTGGATATACTTGTATACACACGTCAACTGACTGCGATGATATCCGATGCAAATCAATCTCACACACGAGAGAAGGGACAGACACTCTCTCCGTGGTCCAATGTCTGAAGCAATTACTCGCACCTGTATGTGTATGATCGTGTGGAACTTGGGACTACTTGTGTATATATTGTATGGTGCGTCAATTTGCAACTATGTTTGCTGCATTCCTGAATGTGCATGTAAATTTCGGCTATTCGGACACAGGTAGGGGTGCTTAATCACTACCGAATCGTGTGTTACGCGCTGACAAGGTTACCGTTGATTACCGTTTATCAAGAAGTTACCTTGCACTTTGCAGGATCCCTTAAAGAAACAATCTCGAAAAACCATACATCATTTTTTTTTTTAGTACTCGTTTCAGTTTTTTGTTTTTACATCTACAAAGTATGGGTGGCCATCGTCGAGGGAAGCACCAAAAACCACCACCCCAATGTCTACGTTTTAATAGAACTGTCGAGCGGTAGCCCCAACGCCCCGTAGCATGCAACGAACGAAACGTATATAGCTGCCTTCTTCTCACGATCCCGAAACAAATTACGAAAATCACATACCTCATCGCCAAATAAAAACACAACCGATCCCTACACGCGCACCTTTCCACTATACGTAAACGCACGACGTCTCCACTCCCCCTCTCTTATTCCGCAGCTAACCATCGTCCCGTATAATAACACACTAGGCCCAAAAATCCAAACCGAAACCCCCCGAACAAAAGGAGAAGGAGAGTCTATTGACCCCCGTTGGTTTGTGCCCGCAGGAGGAGATCGGTGAGATCATAGAGTCGGTGCCACCCGCGAGATCGGAGGAGCACCGGCCACCACGACGAGGGGAGGACGTGGTCATCACCGTGGCGCCGGATCCAGCTGCCGTTGTAACGAGCAACGGCGGCCCACGCCGCGATAGACGGCAGTTCCAGGATCCACGGGACAAGAACCGCGAGCTGGACAAGTGGTCGGACAAGCTGCTCGCCGAGTTCAACAGCATCATCGCCAACGAGATAACCGAGCTGACCAGAGCGGCCCACACTCGAGGTAGCGGAGACGAGGATAATGAGCGGGCAAAGGGGGGTAGCAACGGTGGTGGGTGGGGTGGTTCTGGCACGATGAGCAGCCAGCAGGACATGCTCAGCTCGGACTACGACGAGCCGAGGGACCGGGTGACCGACGGGAGGGGATCCTCCTTCCGTCGGGGGAGTCTGCCCGGGACCGCGTCCGACTACGACGAGCCCGTGGGCTCGCGCTCGATCGGGGAACTGGTGCGCCTGAAGAACCCCTCCAGTCTGTGGTCCAGCAGCTCGTCGCCCCGTCCCATCCTGCCAAAGAGCAGTCGCAGCAGTGGCGTGATCAACAGGTACCAGCACCAGTGCGAGTTGATGCCGGGGCAGGAGAAGCCGTCGACGGACCCGATGCCACGGTCGAGCCGGATGTTGGGCCTGGGGGGCTTTGGGCGGAGAGTGAGGGAGTTGCCGCCCCAGCCGAGGAAGCCCGATGGCCAGAAGGGGCAGGTGGCGAGCAACGGCGGCCACTACGGGAGGATCGCGCAGCAGGCGGTGAAAAAGGACTCGGAGCCGATTTACGAGGAGATCCGGGAGTCGAGGTCGAGGTCGTTGGAGAACAGTGGCAGGGCGGCGACACCCAAGCGCTCGGTGTTTTCGCGGCTGTTGCACCGTAGGCACGGGCGGGCGTCGGTCTGCGGTGATGGCAATCCGGCTGGTGGGGCTGCGGTTCTTGTGAGGGTGTCGTCGCTGCCGGACCAAGACTTTGCGAACCTCACCACGGCCGAGGTGGTGGAACCCAGAAGACAGAGGCTGTCGGAGTCGGACGGGGACGAGAGGCGGAACGGGGGTGTCCGGTTGAGTAGGTGTCGGGTTACCGGTGGGAGTATGGATGCGGCCGTGGGGTGCGACTTTTCCGACGCGGACAGGACCGAGGTGGACGGGCTCTGCGTCACGGCTCACACTGCCGGTGGGAACGGAGCTGCCAGGGAACTCGTCGGGAAGGAGGACAACCAATCGGCATCGGTGAGTTTACCCTTTTTTTTTATTTGCAATGAGTCTATGTTTATGTTTACTTGGTTGTTATATATATATGGGGTGATAGTACGGTAGTTAACGGGAATCTTTTTGAAAGTACAACCTTTGAAACATCATTGAAACTTCCGTGTAAAAGCTTTTGCTCATTCAATCACACGTTGTCAAGGATGTTCATTTTTTTTCCAAGTTTTCTTTTTAGTTTTACTATTAATAAGAATGAGGCAAGTTGGTCTTGTTGTACTACCGATTTTTATTGATTGAAAATTAAATATAGCATTGATGAACCTTCGAGATGGTACTTTCTCCTCTAAAAATTGAGACGCAATACACATGCATGCTCTTTCACAATCCATGTCCCCTCTGTACGGGAATACATGTTAAAGATTTAAAAAAAAAGGTCCAATGGTATAGTCATGGTAGGGGTAAAATGAGCCACGAAGCCTAGAGATTTCATGCTCGCGTGAATATTCCAGTTGCCCGTATCGCTGCATTCCCTGCTCTCCCGGTTGACGAGGAGTGGAGGCTCCTGCTGTCCGAACGGCATCCAGGAGGGCCCGACTTGCTCGGACATGGCGACGCAAACGTCGCCGGGAATATCGCGAAGCTCGAGCTTCACGTGGGTCAGTGACTGCGAGTCCCCGCATAACGGTGAGTTTTGTCGCGATAAAAAAAAAAGGAATACACGAATCAAAGTAAAATGGTCTAATCCACGTGTATGGCCCCTCGTAGACCTGCACGGTGACGTGAGATCGCTACAGGACGAGGTGATACTGAAGCCAGCCTCGCCCCAAAACACCGTGGACGACGACAATAGATCCTCTTCGTCATCACAGGACCTTTTTCAGAGCATGGACGAGATTTCTTCGGGCAGCGTGTCGCCGGACGCCATAGACCGAGCCTCGCCGCTCGAGAGTGGCATCGGAACGGCCAGTCCGCCCAGGAGCACCGATCGACGCCTCGTTAAACGTGAGTGATTTCACTGGGATTTACTTTTCTCATTTCTTCCACTGGGGACTCATTTTTTTTTTTTTTTTTTTTTTTTATCTTCGCACCTTATAATCGATACACTTTTTTTTTCCTTTTTCATCTCGTTAGGACGCTTCGATCGGTAAATTCGCAATGCCCGTACATTTTAATAGCCTATAGCCTCACCAAAATCAATTATACGGAAAAAAATAGACCCTTGATCGTTAACGGTCCATGGGCCAATAAAGCTCTATCGAAGTTTAATTAGATTTCACCGAAACAACAACGACAAAGGGAGCTACAGTGCCCCATTGATTTTTTATTGTTGCACTCCTTTCGTAAACAAAATTAAAAAAAAAAAAACAATGACCCAAACTCACGTAGCACCGACATCCACACCCATCGATGTGACCCCAAAAGCATCGGTAACCGCAGCCCTGGCGTCCTCGGAACCGGCCCGGTCTCCCCCGACGAAGCAAGAGACATGGGAGCGGATCCGCCGGCGACCCTCGAAGCTCTACCCCAGGGGCCTCGGCGAGGACGGCAACAGCGACAGCGTTTGGATAAGACGCGAGAGCGTCCACACCCAGACGGGCCCCGACGAGCAGCCGGCGGACTGCTCCCTCGAGACCGTCGACAGCAGCAGTGGCCTCGACGACTCGCTACCCAGGCCCAAGCCCCGGCCGTGCGACTTCCACCTCGGTAAGCTTGCAACATACACCCTGTATCCAAATTCAAGAAGCTTTTTACCATAGTGCCATTTTATCGAACGTCCTGCAGGCCTGTCTACCGGGAGCAGCTCTTTGAGCTCGGGTGAGATCCCGGTCAACGTGCCCCGCGACGCTGGCCCGTCGTCACCGTCCACCGGGAGCTTGCAGCTCGGTCGGGCGCTTCCACCTCTGGGCATCGAATTCGCGAACAAGAGCAACAGCGCGCCCCTGCTCGACAACAAGACCAGGAGCACCACTGGGGGCATTAGTAGCACCACCGAGGAGCCGGTAAGCCTTTTTCTCTTTTGTTTTCTCACTGTGGGGCTGTGGCGTGTGCTGTTCTTTTGCGCGACAGTGACAAATTTCAATACGCGTACACCGAGGGTCCGTGACGAATTCAGACGCGTGCTCATTGCGACAAGCAGTCGTTGCAACTTTGCGCGAGCTTATAGTACGAGCACGATGGGGCTCGTATGGCCGGTATCAATCACTAGAGAGAGTACAGGCATGTACTTGGGAGCCCGACCCGTTACGTATCCGCAGTTGCGATATACACGTATACACGAGTCATTAGTTGTTTTATCGTTGGTGCTTGCAGTGTTATATATGGTAACAGGAGGTGGTGTACACCCATTGGCCGTGATAATTGGCCCGAGAGCCGCGTCTTGCAAGAGATGGATGTCGCGGAACGGATATTCTCGCGTAGAGGGATGATGCGACATCGTATATGGATCGCTATCCTCGGCTGTATGGATTTGTTACGATCTCTCTGTCTTGTGTGGTTATGATGCTGTTACGATGAAATGAATCGTACCTATATACTTGCATCGGGAGAATCTCTTGTACCGTCGTATATTCATAATGTTGTATATCACTCATCAACGTGGTTGTTTTGTTTATCAAAAAATAAATCTTTCGCCTCGAGTGTGTCCGTATAGTCAAATGTTTCTCATCGGCTAGCGGTTGATCGCCTCTTGTTTTTCCCGAAATTGGTATTTCCCGTAAATCTACTTTCGCTATTGCGCGGAAAATTCATTTTATTGGCTCGGCAGGCAAAAAGTAAAATACGAAAAAACGCGTACGGTACGATCACTTCTAGTTGCTTTAGCTCCAGGATAATCCTCGTTGCGATATTGCAAGGGCAACGCGCCCGTTCGACCTTGACACTCGAGGGAAAAGTATACGAAAAAAAAAAAAAAAAAAAAAAAAAAAAAGGTAGCACCCTCCTTCGAATGTACACAAACACGGGGGGTTGCGAGATTAAATTGACGCCAAACAGCTTTGGGAATATTTTATATCCCCTCCTTCACCGTGTGATCAGCTTTACGCTGCATTGATGCTATACATTTTTAACAATGCATTATTCATGGAGTACTACTTTTTTGTTTGCCGAGGTTAAAAAATTAAGAATTTATTTTGGAACGCGTGATGCACGTGGACACCAGTTGCGCGGGGTGTACCTCCTCCAACCGTATATAATGTTTACCTATGCTGTTTTTGTACGTAAGTACGGTCCTACACGTGTTTTCAACTTTTAAGTTAGTTTTTTATTTCACTTTCGGTATAAAAACATAGCTCAACCATTCAGTTATTACTCACGATTGTAGCCTCGAAGAAAGTCATTTTCGTTTTCTATTTTTATGAAAAAAAAGGAGTGGGGAGGGTGAATTACTAGTATATTCACCCCAGTAAAAAAAAGATAGAAATCGATAAAATATTCCAAGATACCGAAGGGTTGCAAGCTTATGTAGGAGGGAGGCTCGCACGTTCCTCTCGCATGAGCAGGTGCTCAGAGAAAGCTCCACGCCAACGCACGAGGTATACAGAAGAAGGGTGGGTTTTGTATCCCTCGGCACAAGAGCAGTCAAAGCTGTGCTGTGACCAGCCGAGCGTGTCCGATTAACCGGATGACCGGCTCTGACGACGATATCTGCGGAAAAATGTGTACATGTTACCTATACCCTGTAAAATTACTGTATGGAAGCCTGTAGGGTAGAGATGGATAGAGTCTTGTAGTTTTCTTTTTTTTTTTTTTTTTTCATAGGGTGGCTAAGGGGGATTTTTCGCGCGACGTGTGGTTCGATCTATGTAACACGGGTGACAACACGATTTATCCGAAAAGAAAAAAAACAAACAAATAAACTACTTCGTGGTGTAAAATGCACGCGTTTCGAGGTGTTTTTTTTTTCTCCCTCGGAGCGTATATTTCACTCGATACAACGTTGCGTTCTAAAAATAACAGTGTAATACGGAGGGATCGTGCGCAAAAAGAAAAAAAAAAAAAAAAAAAAAAAAAAGTCGAGCGTTATAGCTCACCAGGACATAAATATCGTTCTTTCCCTCTCGGGTGGGAGCAGTTAAAGTCTTGGCTGCTGAAAAACTCCTGAAATAGAAGCCAATATCGCCAGACGAGAGAAGAGGTTGATAAAAGAGAGAAGAGAAAACTACGACGGCGATCGGATCTCGTACGAGGAGGCTCCGCAAGTGTGGAGGATTTTCTTTCTGCTCTCCCCGACCCTGTACACGTATATATATCGTACACTTTTCTGCGCGTCGCCTACGCGATCGAGTTGAGCTATTTTTCTTGGGACTTTGCTTATTGCGTAGGTTTATACTGGTACATACATATACGGGGTACGTCTGACGAAGGAGAAAGAAAAAATAAAAAAAAAAAGGTCCGAGGGAGAGTTTCCCAATTAGCACGTGGACTGGACGAATTACGAGCGGGTCTCGTTCGGTTGGCGCTTATTGGTTATCGTGGCTTGTGTTTTCTCTTCAAGGTCGAACTGGAGTTTCGGGCGGATCCAGTCCGGTGTTATTTTTAACCCCATGGCAGAAATGGTCATCGGCGACAGTAATTTGTCGCGGAAAGTTGTAGTTTTATCACCTCCGAAACTGACCGTCGTTCGGACGATTCTTAAAATAAAGTATATACCACCGATTCCGATCGTAAAGCCTCGGGTAAACAAACAGTCATCGCTCGTCCAAGGGTCAATGAAATGCTAAAGAAAGATCGTAAAGTTTTTTTTCAAAGACGGCATCCCGAATGTTTAACTGTCGCATTGACGTGATCGGCAGTACGACGAGATTGCTGGTGTACATGTGAGTAGAAAGTGCGGGGCGAATTCGGGCACTTGTGATTTCTTCTTTTTCCGTTCAACACTATAAATAAAACTTATTGATTCTGTGAATGATGCCTTCTGGAAGACCATCGAGGCTTTAGCTGTGTAGAGTTGTAGATAATTCAATTAAGTGCTTGTTCTGAGGGAATTGTTCGATAATCTTTTTTCAAGTTTACTGTCAAAAACGATGAGCAAAACGCTGTTTTTATTTTTAATGCGTGTTTTACCATAACATCTAAGGATAGTCGTAGAAGCTCGGTGTAACTCAGACGGCGTAGAGTGAGAGTGTCAGCGCCACATCCAAAATGACTAGTTAAATTAGGTGAACTATGATGAATAGAAATTGCGATAAAAATATCACAATAACAACGTTTTGACACAATAATTTGATCGCATATATGACAAAAATAAGATTTAAAAAAAAAAAGAAAGTCTGAAAGCATTTCTCTTAAAAATAATTTGAAAAAATTAAAAACTTTTGCTCTCAGAAGAACTCATCTGTATTGAGAGTAAGTATTGAAGTAAAAAAAAAAAAAAAAAATGATTTAGACACAAGTACTAACAGCCAATGTAAAATGTTCAAAAAACAGACGAATCAGTTCTGTGACTAATGCTAAGGACATTATTAGAAAACTAAAGACTTGTCATCGATAAGATGATGAATTGTAAGCGAAACATGTGCAGCATACTGTCAAGTCCTGCTGGATTTCGCCCTGCTCTCACCCACGTACAGGTACTCATTGCTCGGTAAGCCGTCCTCTATTTTCACCTGCGAGTAAGACACGGAACTGCGCGCCCGAAAGCTCAAAAATGCGACCATTGCCCTATCGGAGGAGGGGAAAAAATGAGAAACGAGGCTGGAGACAGATAGGGGCCGGGGAATATATTTTCGAAGGAATTAGCCGCTCCGCGCCATAAATCAGTCGGGGAACGGATACCGGTCAGATACGCGCCTTCAAAACGTAATACCGAGACGCACCGGCGGAGATAGCCGATTTCCGGGAGGAGCACCTCACCCTTTGCCATTGCAGAACCGGACTGAGCACGAGTCTCGGATGCGCCGATTCAACGTAGAATCCGTCCACCAGACGAGGGGAGCGTCCCCAAGAAAGCTCAAAGCTCCATTCGGATAGCCCGAGCTCACATTATCGCCTTGTTTTGCTCGAGGTGTAAAACTCGACTCGGCGCGCGTAGATGACGCGGGTATATTTGGGCTCTAGTTTTTTTTTTTGCTCGGATTTTTCGAGACGAGCGTTGGTGGAAGCGATAGCAAGGCACGAGATACGCGGTGTAAAAAAACAACGCAACAGCCTCGGACACCGAGTTTTGCTATTAGCGGGTACAGATAGCGCCGGGCGTCTAATTTATGCCTGGCAATCAATGCTTGTCGGTACCAGTTACGCGCTCGATGTGTTTATTTCGCATAGTACAGTTTTCGTACAAGCGGCAAAGAGAATGAACCACGCGATTATTTCACCCCCCCCCCACCCACCACCTCTTTACGCAATCGCGCGCGAGCGATTGGACGTAATGGGATAAATTTGTCATGGTCCCGAGGCTGTGGGTCTGTAAGCACCTTTAAGAATCCACCTATGCAGCGAATGAACAGTACATACGCAGCCACTTTGGGCTTCGATAACGTTAATACCGGCACTCATCGGTTTTCTGTTTCAGAACCTGCAGCAGCCCCGTTCGCAGTCCGAGCGACAAATATCAGGTGAGTCGAGCTTTTGTACAACATATGTATTCACGCCGGCCGATCCATACCATTATGCGCACGGTGGGGTCCTGGTATACTGTGGTCTACGGGGGATTACTTACGCCCCTGCAACTATTGCCTATGCAACTGCATGGGGATCCGTTGAGATAACTTTTTTTTTTATATATGATTATTCAATCGTTGAAACGCGATTGGTTGGTATTGTTGTTATTACGTACCTTGTTACCTGAAGGTGTCCATCGTTTAAAGAAAAGTACGATGCGACGATAAAAGGACCCACATCATCAAGGATTCATGAAAGGTAGGTACGAGTGTGGGGTAAACAATATTTCCAAGTAATGCTCTTTTTACGATGAACTACTTTGGTCGTGCTTATAGAAAATGTTGGTTGCTGTAAAGTGACGCTGTAGGGTAGAAACTTTGGTAATTTTACAAATTTCCAGTGTAGTGACATTCGTCAGTGTCATTGTAGAAACGAATGCTTGACAAGAGTATATGTAATGTCGGTAATCCTGCGACGATGTGACTTTCTCTCTCTCTTCACTATCACTGCGTACCTGCCTTCACTTCACGCGCAACGACCAAGCCTACCGTGGGAAATCTACTAAGTGATTTTCTTTTTTTTCTTTTTCTTCCTTTTACGATAAAATAACCAAAAGTATCGTGTCACCTCATAAATAATGTCAATGACAACAAACGACTCTGCACGAGCGTTTATTCGTACTTGACGAGGAAACACTCATCGAGACATATTATTCAAAGTCAGTTTTGCGCCCGAGTAGTTTTTCGGGTTTACTCTCCTAATGGAGATCTCCAACTGTTTAATCTTTACTGCAAATAAAAGTATGGACAGCAAATATACACGTGAGAGGGAGAGAGCTCGATTAGCAAAGTTGCAACTATGAACTCTCGATAGCTTCGATCGAGGGTGATAAAACTAATTCATCGCACAATCGTGTATGCTCGAACTGAAAAACAAAAAGAAAAACAAATAAATAAAAAAAAAAGGACAAAATCAATGAGAGAGTTTATCAGATCAGCCTAAATCGCAGTTGTACGAGCTCCATTGGGAGCAATTTATGTGGGATCATTTATTGCTCTGGCACTTGTTACACAAAAGAGCGATAGTCACATAAGCATATAGGCACACCTGAAACGGTCGCCGCGCGCATAATAATTAATCCCGATAATGGATCTCCGTACTCGCATAACGCAAAGAAAGTACGAGTAAGAGGTCCTTTTTTTTCTCTTCTTTTGTTCGGTCTCGTTTTCCCATTAATACTTCCGATGTGCTCCGAGAATCGATTCACACGGGCCACTACCGCATAGGCAGGAGAGAAAGCTATACCGTGCACGCGCCGGAGGGGGATGACGCGCTTACCTTTACACACACACGAGAGAGTCCTTTGGCGCATAATGGACCAACGAGAGTTGCTGCCTACTGCCGATCGCCTTTAATTATCCGGCGAGGCTCGTTTAGCGCGCGCGAAACAAACGAGTGAAAGCCTCCTCTCTCTCTCTCTCTCCCCGAGATAGGCACTCTATGCATCACGGCTGCCGGGATCAAACATTAATTTCCGTATGATTTATCACGTAGGTATATATTAACGGGCGAACTGGGTGTAGGTCAGAGTGTACGAGGCAGAAACATGGAAAATCGATTAGTAGATCTTGGCTCACGTGGAGGAACTTCATTAGCGTCGGGCACGCGCGGCAGCTCTTTTTAGCGCGCCTTCGGAGGAGAGATGCTGTTGGTGCTTGTGTGTGTGTGTGTGTGTGTGTACCTGCGTTATTATTCGACCTGAGATTGTTTTGATAGTACGGGGCTCTGTAAACGCTGGTGGGGGGTACACACGTAGCGCCTTTGTTCGCTGTTTTCCGTGTTTCTGGACTGTTTTCCAGATTTTATCGGAAAATGAGCCGGGATAAGCGTGATTTATGGACCGCAATGGGTGTATTATATGGCGGAGTACAATAAAGAAAAATGCTCGTGTACGGTTTTTTTGAGAGTTTGGGGTATTGAATTATTACCATTATTATTTTATTTTACTGGAAAATGTTTTTTTTTTTTTTTTTTTTTCACACAACTACCAAACGCGCTGCCGTGAATTTCTCATTCCCACGAACATTTTTTTTTCCATCCAAAGTACGCAACAAATTCACACTTGGTGTAAGCTTTTTGCAACATATGAGAGTTGTCAGCAACTCGTATGTATGTATACACCCCCACCGGGACAACTGCCACCACGAGCCCGTGGAATTGCTCCCCCAGGTGAGCTACCATCTGGCGATTTATCACACCCGGGGCTGTACGTATATGGGCTACGTTTGTTAAAAACCAAGTGGGCGGGACGGTGGTTAAATTTTTTTTTTTACCGTTTGAATTTCGGTCATCTGCTTTCTGCTTGGGTTTACTTGCTCACAGAAATGGAAGCTGTTCCTTCTACTGGACCATAAAGTGTGAGAATATGTTAAACGATGTCGTGCTGGAATCACGATTGAGTCTCTGTTTCACTACTTTTAGAAATGCGTTTGTACTCAGAAAAATGTTCTTATAATGCTTTTTGCGATGGCAAAGAACTTTCTATCAGTACCAGGAGATGCGATCAAGTTGCGTCAGACTTGTACCAAAAATTTTCCAATCTCCAAACTCACCACAACTGTGCAGTGTATCGATTGCTCAAATCAACAGGTGATGCTAAAAATTGATAATTTCCCAAGCAGAAAAAAAAGTGTACTGATACGTGTGAAAGATTCTATCTCAGTTTTATATTAGAGCATAGTTGACGAAAATTTTTTAATTAAAGAATTAATTGTAGTAAATCATTTTTTTTTTCTTTTTTTTTTAATGTAATAACTTTTTTATTAAAATCGTTAAAGAAATTCCTTAAATAGGACCTCCTTGGGGTGAAACGTAGATCCAACAAATGGATGATCCAAACTACTCAACAACGCGTATTGAACGTATACCTATCGCGAAACACCGGAACGCAATTACAAAGAATTTGGATAATGACGCCGATTTATCGGGAAAAAAACTATCGGTAATTAATCGCGAGGAAAGCTAGATGCTTCGATCCTAATTTCCTTCTTTTCTTTCTCTCCCCTTCCTCGAACGGATAACTTCCCATTTTTCCGCTCAGAAAGCGTCGCCTCATCGCAAATTGCACTCATTCCTGACTCTCTCGCTCCATTGTTTAAATGAAGATTACCGTAATTTCACACTCGAAATACTCGGCACATCGCACAAAAGCCATTTCCCTCTTTTTTTTTTTTTTTTTTTTTTTTTTGCCACGCCAAGTATGAAATTACATTTCTCTTCCAGCAGAGAGAAGTGGAATTGAATTTCTCCCAGGTTTTTCATAAAAAATAAAACAACACAAAACTGTAAAGTATGTCACCAAACCATCCCATTAAATACTCGCAAGTCCCACCCATACGATATACGTGCACCCTTGATTTGTACGTACACAATACATCCGCCAGGCAGGAGGAATCAGATGTATCAATCAGCAGCGATCGATAGTACCGATGCTCGAAATAAAAACAACGATCCAGCGAACAAGCTCTGTCGAGCTTATGCAGATACAATCGAGGGAGCGAAGGCACAAAGAGCGCCCAGCCGATCAATTAGCAATTAATTGAGAGAGAGAGAGAGGAAAGCAAAAGGATAAAGAGGAGCTCGGAGGAGTGGGAGGAGCCAAACTCTCCCAAGGTATACACGCCGGTGGTAATGACTGTGTCGAATAATTAATTTCGGGGGACCGGCCGCGTGTGGGAAGTGACAATGTCTCAATGCAACCGGTTGGGTCCGTTGTTCTTCTGTTGTTGTGCATCTCTATTATGATGGGCCTGTTGGCGCCTCTGGGCATTTTACATGTGATCCGAGTGCAATAAAACAATTGGTTCCAACGAATACGTATATTTTATTATTATAATTTTTTTTTTTTTTTTTTAAATAGTAAACTCGACCAGTGAATTTTAATCAACCGGTTATATTGTTAATACTGAAAAATCCTTTCAAATGAAACTCGTCGGATGGGTGCAATCGCGCGATTGAAACGTATTCGGTTCGCTTTTAATGGAGGGATAGTTTAAAATTCAAATTTATTTGTTTGCGAGCTTTTATTTTGCAGGCCATGCCAAACGATGGCTAGCTCAATATATTCACAAAAAGTAATGGTTACTCGTGAAATTGCTCAATGTCTCTTGGAGTACCGTTTGAATTGTACGCGGGGATTCATGGAATTCCTCGAAAGGAGTACGCCTTACCGTAATCGTCTGTTTCTACTGGAGTTGAGTTTAACGTTCCTTGACTCTGCTTCATTTCCGTGGTTTTTTTTATTCTTCGTGTCGTTTGTCATCATAATCATTATATGACATACTTTTTCTTATTGTTAGATATATTACATGAGTCAAAATTTTTTAATAGGGTATAAGAAAATTATTATCTGCGTATTTTGGACCAATTTAAACAAAGATATTAGATTTCTTTTTAGTGCCGGTTGCAATATAATAAATATCGATTACGTATTGCCACAGCGGCAATTACCAAGTCTCCTGAAACATCATCGCGAGCCGAGAGCGTCCAGAGTCTCCTATTAGGTTGGCTTAAATGGAAATTTTCGTTGATCGATTGGCCATCGCTTTGGTCTTTACCACCGATCTTATCGACTATTTCAGTGGTGCGCAAGGCGGTACTTTGCATTAATTTATTGCACAAGCGAGACCCACTTTCATAAATAAGTACTTGGAGGGCTTGATCTCGGAAAACTCGTGAAATCCACCTGAACCTAGGATATTACACTAACTTGAAAAAAAAAGAAAAAAAAAAAATTGTTATCCCCAAAAAATCGTAAAAAAAAAAAAAAAACAAAGAATTCCTTGACCCAAAAACCTGTTCGGCGAATCTCAATTGGGCACTGTGAACGACGATTCCTGCATACTCTGCTCTGCACGTGTCCTCGGAAGAAAAAAAAGGAGGCTAAGAGAAAATGAAAGGGAATTCAGAGCGGACAGATCCACCTATTGTTGCAAAAGTATGCCTTGTAATGATCCCGCGCTATAGTTACTCGGGAAAACGAGTTTTTGAGGATTTTTTTTTTTTTACACTCTGTACACAGAAAAATACATGTATGCATAAGGAGCTCCCGAATAAAAATTAAACAAGTATTCGAGATTGATTTATAAATATTGATACACATAAATTAAAAAAAAAAAAAAAAAAAGGAAGAAGGAAAAAAAGATCCGACGATCTCACAGACGTATACATTGAAGAGAGGCGAGCGTTTCATTACAAACGAGGTCACTGTACTGTTGTAATGAGCCTTGCCGTACAACAGGCCGCGAGCCTCGATTAATTTGAACGCGCTCGAGCACAGTAGCTGCTTTTATTTGTTACA